AATTCTGAAAGAGATGGGAATACCAGACCACCTGACCTGCCTCTTGAGAAACTTGTATGCAGGTCAGGAAGCAACAGTTACAACTGGACATGGAACAACAGACTGGTTCCAAATCGGGAAAGGAATACGTCAAGGCTGTATATTGTCACCCTGCTTATTTAACTTATATACAGAATACATCATGAGAAACGCTGGGCTGGATGAAGCACAAGCTGGAATCAAGATTGCTGGGAGAAATATCAATAACCTCAGATATGCAGATGACACCACCCTGATGGCAGGAAGTGAAGAACTAAAGAGCCTCTAGATGAAAGTGAAAGAGGAGAGTGAAAAAGTTGGCTTCAAGCTCAACATTCAGAAAACTAAGATCATGGCATTTGGTTGCATCACTTCATGGCAGATAGATGGGGAAACAATGGAAACAGTGAGAGACTATTTTTTTGGGCTCCAAAATCACTGCAGATGCTGACTGCAGCCATGAAATTAAAAGACACTTATTCCTTGGAAGGAAAGTTATGACCAACCCAGAGAGCATATTAAAAAGCAGAGACATTACTTTGCCAACAAAGGTCCGTCTGGTCGAGGCTATGGTTTTTCCAGTAGTCATGTATGGAGGTGAGAGTTGGACTATAAAGAAAGCTGAGCGCCGAAGAATTGATGCTTTTGAACTGTGGTGTTGGAGAAGACTCTTGAGAGTTCCTTGGACTGCAAGGAGATCCAATCAGTCAATCCTAAAAGAAATCAGTCCTGAATATTCATTGGAAGGACTGATGCTGAAGCTGAAACTCCAATACTTTGGCCACCTGATGCGAAGAACTGACTCACTGGAAAAGACCCTGATGCTGGGAAAGATTGAGGGCAGGAGGAGAAGGGGACAACAGAGGAAGAGATGGTTGGATGGCATCACCGACTCAGTGGACATGAGTTTGTGTAGGCTCTAGGAGTTGGTGATGGACAGGGAGACCCAGCGTGCTGCAGTTCATGGGGTCGCAAAGAGTCGGACACGACTGAGCGACTGAACTGAAGTGAACTGAATACTGAGAGAATATTCTGTCTCCTATATTTTCTTTCATCCCACTGGACTGTATGGCTTCCTCTAAGTAGATCTGTGAATGGAACTTCCTTCATTTGTATCGTGTAGACTCAAGATTGTCATTGGCTGGGATAAAGCAGAAAAAAGCTAGTCTTCTCACCTCTGCCCTTAGCCCCACCTCCTGCCCAGGCTGCCTTTTACTTACATCTTTTCTTATCCTTGACCCCCTCCAGTCTCCTGTAGTGCTATGGGCTTTATAGATGCCTCATTTCCCACTACCCCTCATCTTCCCATCTAATTCCCACCTAGAGTTTCCAGATGGAGCAAATAAAAATGTAGGATGCCCTGCTAATTGTGAATTTCAGATAGGCAGTAAGTAATTCTAGGGTAAATAAGTCCCTGCAATACTTGTGACCTATTTATACAGAAGAACTGTCATTTATCTGAAATTCAAATTTAACTGGGAGACTGTATTTTATTTGGCAACCCTACTCTCATCCTGTGGGTTATCGGAGGCTCGAGCAGCTGCTTTGTTCCACTTACTGAGAACTCTGTCTGCCTAGGTCCCAGCCCTGAAAGAACTCAAACCTAAATCCCACAATGTCATCACACTGGTCTATGTTCCTCTACTCCCAGTCATTTCCACAAGGGTTCCCTAGATGTTTCTCACTCTAGAAGTTCGAAGTTGCTGAAAGATGGGCAAAAGTACCAGATCCAGGACTCCGTTTAGCTTTGCCCTCAACTATCGTGGTAATTTTGATTTTTAGCAAAGACTCACTATGATGGGCCAGAATTCAGGTGCCTACATAACATATCCTTCCTTTCTATGCCTCCTTTAGAATGAAGTTATCAGAGAAAAAGAAATCTATTAATAATATGAATACATATGCATTTTATAATATCTTAGGACAGTTTGTTTAAAAAAGCAAGAAACCTGCTAGAGGACCAGGGAAGCAGTAATTATATTTAAGTACAAACTTGAAGAAAAAGATTCATTTAATGTGAAGAACAAGGCATCTGAGGTGAGACAGTCCCAGTGGAACCCTAAGAGGATGAACTCAGGCTTCTCCTTTGAGATGTTCTCTTTATTAGGTCTGAGAATGGCAGGAGGAAAAGAGAATATAAATTCAGGAGCATGCCAGGGGGAAGTACAAAGCACTTTAGAAATACTTTTCAGTGGCAGAGTTTCAAAGCCTTCATTTTTCACGGCTGGCTGACTCTAAAGATACTCTCAATCCAGGGCACAGGTTTTAAAGAATTCCTTCTTCCCACTGTGTCTGGGACTTTGAATTAGACAGGTAGCTTCTGTTTCACTCAGGTGATCAGAATACAAAGGTAGCCTAAGCACAGAGTACCAGCTGTCTCCATTCAGAGAAAAATCTGCACTCCACAGGGTTCCATGTCAGTGCAATTGACTCTGAGCAGCCTAGAATTCCCCTCCTTCTAGACAAATGACAGATGCACCTCAATTTACCTCCAGCAGAGATTAGGGATTTTGTTTTGGAATGGCATCAAAGAGTTCAAAAATAATATAATTTCCCTACCACAATTTTCTACCCTGATGAGCCATTATGGAAATGTGGGCCCTTTAAGAGGTTGTCCTCCCCATTCCCTTTCTCCTGTTTCCTACTTTCTCTTATGTAGCTAACAAAGTTTCTAAATCTACACACCGGATGCTCTACCATTCAGGCTGAGTATGAACTACTCTAGCCTAAATCACGGTGTACAGTACAAGAAAGACTATTTGGCTGAGAATCAGAAGAGCTGGATTATGGCTTAAATGTCTCCACTAACTGGCTGTGGGATCCAGGGAAGCCATTGCATCTTCCTCCTCTATAAAATGCAACTGTTTGGCCTTACGTTCTTCAAGGTTCACTCCTGCTCCAAAGTCCTACATTCTTTCTGCATCCTACCCCATCCCTAGGAGCAACTTGTGAGGAATCTGCATTAAGCTTTTAGACAGGTTTAACAAATGCATTTCCCCTAATTTTCTTAAAACTAGGATAGTTTCTTTAAAAAAAAAGTTTAGCTCACTGAAAGCCCAGTGTTCTAAGTACGTAGTTCATGAAATTTAGAAAAAAAGGTTGGATTTGAGAGCGTTCTGACTCTCAACTTCTTTTGATGCCCTCAGTTTATCAGACCCTTGTCTGGAGAGTTCCTTCCTCTGGGGGCGGCAGTGCTGAATCCAATAATGGGTAAGGAGGTCAAACATCCGTGCCTCTGGTTTTCCTGGACTGTCTCCCTATGCATAATATGGGAGAAGGCATATAGACCCTACTTATATCCGTGTATGTGGTCTTATGTAAATTAGGTCACTGTTCATGTCACGTAAATAACTTGTTTTATGCTAATACACTTTTTTCAGTTATGTTGTTGTAAATGCATCAATTTTAAGTGTTTAGTGTAATGAATTTTGACTAACATTACATACACTACGTTAGCACCACCCAGAACCTTCCATCACCCCCACAAAGTCAGCTCTCTTGTGCCCTTATTCTGATTTTTTTCCAGCATAGATTGGTTTTGCCTATTCTTGAATATGAAATCATATAGTATGTATAAGGAAAAATCTGTTATAAAGTGTTGCAGACCTGAATTTTTTCAGTTAAAATCAAGAAATACATTGCCAAAAAAGGGAAAAAAAAATACACTGCCGAGCAAGCCAGTAAAACAGAAACGCAATTATGAAAACTTACTCACTTTGGTAAAGTAAGCCAAACTTGATGAAATGAAACAAATCTATATGATTTAGAAAACCCTCATCCCAAGTGATGGAATTAATGAAAGTGAAAGTCGCTCAGTTGTGTCCAACTCTTTGCAACACAATGGACTATACAGTCCATGTAATTTGCCAGGCCAGAATACTGGAGTGGGTAGCCTTTCTCTTCTCCAGAGGATCTTCCCAACCCAGGAATTGAACCCACATCTCCCGAATTGCAGGCAGATTCTCTACCAGCTGAGCCACAAGGGAAGCCCAAGAATACTGAAGTGAGTAGCCTACCCCTTCTCCAGTGGATCTTCCCAACCCAGGAATTGAACTGGGGTCTCCTGCATTGCAGGTGGATTCTTTACTAACTGAACTATCAGGGAAGCCCAGTGGAATTCACAAAATGCTGAATCAATCCTGAAAAGCATTACAGGATGAAGAAAAATGATCATAATCGAAAAAGAAGGAAGTGCCCCCTTTCCTCCAACCCAAACCATTGGATAATAAGTAAAAGTTGCTAATAAGCCTTTGACATCTGAGGCAGCTCATCAGAGGATCATAAGTGATTCAGTGTGGGTAGGAGATAGCATGTAGAGGATAAGACGATAGCAGAAATGGAGAAGGGATTTACAAACAACCTGGAGCCCAACAGCAGATGGACTGGTTCTGCTATGAGGGACCTGGAAGGGCAGCAGAAAGGATGCCAGAAGGCCCTGTTGCCCGTGTCCGTGGAATGGCTGGCCCAGCAAGACAAAGGCAGGCGTCACTCTGTCTTCCCTGCTGGCTCAGCAGGAAATAATCTGCCTGCAATTCAGGAGCCACAGGAGACTCAGATCCCATCTCTCGGCTACGAAGATCCCCTGGAAGAGAGCATGGCAACCCACTTCAGTATTCTTGCCTGGAGAATCCCATGGACAGAGGAGCCTGGTGGGCTACAGTCCACAGGGTCACAAAGAGTCGGACATTACTGAAGCGACTTAGCACACACCAACACAGGCATCACTTCGTATTGAGTTCCCCAACTTCAGATAAGCCTCAAATCCTAACAAATGATAGGGTGAAAAATGCAACTGGTTATGAAAAGATATTATATCTCATTTAATTAAAAAGTCAACTTATTGATATATAAACCAACTGGACCAAACAGGAAAAATTGAATCAAACAGAACAGAAGCAATGCTCTAAACAAGCATCAACTTAAGAGCTCTGATGCCAACCAGGAGGACACCCAGACACCAGTTTAGCATGGGGTAAGAGTCTTTATGTCTTCCGGTGAAGGCAAAGCCATTTGGTTGGCACTTCATAGGAATATCTTTCCACCAGGTCGTCATCATAAGGTATGTGCCACGAGTCTCCAGTTGTTTGCACCACGGTGTCATAGCTGAGAATACGCTGTTGAATTAAAAAGGGAACCACACAATGAGAAAAACATTAAAGGAATATCTGGCCATTTCCCTTTCTTTTCTGACGATTTCTTAGTTTGCTTCAGAGATGTATTCTTTGTCTTACTTAACAATGGATTTTCAAAGAGCAGCTAACTCTGTGAAGATGAATCCTGGGGGTAGGAACGGTGGGGGTTGGAGGATAAAATAGGAGTTAGGATTAACAGATACACATTACTACAGATAAAAGAGAAGACTTCCTTGGTAGTGCAGTAGATAAAGAATCTGCTTGCCAGTACAGAGGACATGGGTTTGATCCCTCATCTGGGAAGATTCCACATGCCAAGGAACAACTAAGCCCATGCACAACAACTGCTGAGCCCGTGCTCTAGAGCCCTCGAGCCACAACTACTGAAGCCTGCACGCTCTTGGGCCCAAGAGCCAAGCTAATGAGCCCCTGTGCCCCAAGTACTGAGGCCTGTGCACCTAGAGTCTGTGCTCCACAAGCGTAGCTCCCACTCGCCACAATTAAGAAAAAACCCGTGTGCAGCAATGAGGACCCAGTGCAGCCAAAAATAAAGAAAAAGGAAGAAAAAAAAAAGACTTCCTCACTTAAAAAAAATAGGTAAACAATAAGAACCTACTGTATAGCACAGAGAAAGATAATCAGTATAATAACCTATAATGGAAAAGAAAAGAATATATATATACATATACACACACCCCCATATATATATATATCTACCATTGTATTACTGCTGCATACTTGAAGTTGACACATTGTAAATTAACTATACTTCAATTAAAAAAAAGATGAACCCTATTGTTAGGAGTTCCTTTTTGGGGAGGTTTCATTTTTAAGGTTAAGGACTCTCTATAAGAAAAAAAAAATGTATACTCCTTTTTGTCTTTAATGATTTTGTATGCAACAGAGAAAACTTCCAAATATACAAAAATAAAGAAACAGCACAATGAACTCATATATACCCATTACCCGGAGGTTTCATTTTTAAGGTTAAGGACTCTCTATAAGAAAAAAAAAATGTATACTCCTTTTTTGTCTTTAATGATTTTGTATGCAACAGAGAAAACTTCCAAATATACAAAAATAAAGAAACAGCACAATGAACTCATATATACCCATTACCCGGCCTCAAAAATCATCAAAATTCATGGCTAATCTTACTTCATCCGAATGGATGAATCCCTCAAATTATTTTGAAATAAATCTCAGATATTATATCATAGCTTCTATAATTCAGTATGTATCTCTGAAAGAACTTATTTTGTAAATATAAAAGGAATATTATATTATACTTAAGAATTAACAACTCCTAAACATTGTCAAATTTCTACTGTTTACGTTTTTCCAATTATTATATGTGTGCAATTATATTTTACAGTTTGTCTGAATAGGAATTGAAATAAGGTTGTTACATTGTGACTGGCTAAACTCTCTCTCAATTCTCTTACAATCTAGAGCTTCTCTTTTCAACTCTATTTTTCTTGCAGTTTTTTGTTGTTGAGGAAACCAGGTCCTATACTGTTTCCCACAGTTGATTTTGCTGATTGCATTTCTGTGGTATCATCTGATACCATATTTCCTACAAATGTTGTTTTTGTCTGTTTGTTGAGCCCTGGACTGTATTTACCATTGGCTAGTGTATTTTTCTGTAGTAAATTGCCTTTAGATTTTCCCTCAGCTTTTACACAACAGACATTCTTGTACTTACAGGTGTTTCAACTAGAATAAAAAAAGAACTCAATTGACGCTGTGCCACAAAAGTGGATTAAACAGGAAAAAGGAGTTATTCAGCAGAAACAGAAGTATGATGAGTCATAAGACATACAGAATTTTGAGCTATGGCAAATAAATAGGAAAATAAAAAACACGTATAGGGATTTGTAACTGATAACATAACTGAAGTCACAGCTGACGACACTTCAGGGGTCTTCAATACGTCAGTTAACATGGGGTTGACCTAGGAAAACACTGCTCTGGCAGACTCTGTTTTTAGGATCTGGCTAATTCCAAATACCAAATTGCTGCTGCTGCTAAGTCGCTTCAATCGTGTCCAACTCTGTGCGACCACACAGACGGCAGCCCATCAGGCTCCGCCATCCCTGGGATTCTCCAGGCAAGAATACTGGAGTGGGCTGCCATTTCCTTCTCCAACGCACAAAAGTGAAAAGTGAAGGTGAAGTCGCTCAGTCGTGTCCGACTCTTCACGACCCCATGGACTGCAGCCTACCAGGCTCCATGGGATTTTCCAGGCAAGAGTACTGGAGTGGGTTGTCATTGCCTTCTCCGAAATATCAAACTAAAGCTAAGAAAAACAAAACATCGAGAACTAGTTGCACTGTTTTTGACCATGTCACATTCTTACTATATAGTTGGCTCTGCTGATGTTATGGAGAAGATGGATAACATACCTGAAAGGTTATTTTTGCTCCTGGATGCTTACTAACAATTGCCAGCTGATGTCCCTGCTGCCACTTAAAGAACAGGCGCTGGGTCTTGGCATCAGGCAGACAGGCCTTGTGGTCTCGCATCAGGTCTTTTGTGATAAACTTGCAGTGGTTTCCCGAGTGCAGTGTGGCATACAGAAGGAATGGATCATCCTCAGAGCTGAGCCAGACATAAGAATGGACACAATCAAACACACATTCAAAGAGGCAGAGAACAGCATTCCAACCATGCTGTTTACTTCTTTCTCTACTTTCCTCAGAAGTATTCTTTGTTCTTAACTGATACGATCAATCAAGGATACTTATGAACAACCTTCAAGTCTTCAGCTGGTAGACAACATGGTCGAGAACACAGATGGACAGCTACAGGGAAAGGAATGCTAACGCTTAGGATTCTTAGCAGTTCAACTGGACTCTACCTCTAGAATGGAGAATTCTAACAGTAATTCTCTCTTCATACTTAAAAGCTGGTTCTCTGTGTCCCCATGGAGTTTTCCTCATCTGCCTCATCTACTACAGAGCACATCTTTCCCCTACCCCTTTCCTCACTCGAATTCAAGAAATACTCATAATATTAACAGGGCAAGAGGACACTTTTCTTGCAAAAGTAAGGGGCTAACCTCAAAGCTGAAACTGCTATCTCCAAGTAGCTTCTGGGTAGCCATCCTGATCAGCACCCAAAGGCGCCTCCAGTCTGAGAAGAGCCAAAAGCTCAAAGTCTCCAATGAGCCCTCAACATCAGTGGTGAGTGCTTGAATACATGTGCTGTAAAAACAGCAGTAGTTACCTTGACGCAGGAGATTCTGATGGCAACATGTGATTAAGCCATATATCTTGATCCAAATGACCCAAAGTGGATCCTTTACAGGATACCTTATACTAAAGTATTTCAATTTCAAGTGAAATGATAAAATAACTGGAATCTGTCTTTAAAATAATCTTCAGGAAAAAGAAAACAACGTGGGGGTTATATGGAACAACATTAACCAATGACAGTAGCTATGGGAGCTGAGTGACAGTCCCGGGGGCATTCACTATACTATTCGCCCTAGTTTACGTTTGAACACGCTTCTCTGGCACATTAGTGGCAAACAGAGTTAATGTTAAAAGTTTAAATACTCAAATCCAAAGCCATAGAAGGTGGCTGAATCAATCTTTACCACTGGGTTTGGAATTTCAGCATATACAATAAATACAGGCTCCAAACCAAGCACGAGACCAACTTCCAACAGGCTTCTTGGTTATAACACTACCGTTACTGAGTTCTTCTACCTATGAAAAATAATGATGATGGTGACAGCAATGAATACAGATGCTTTCCACGTACTTGGTGCTGTGCCAAGAGCCTCACATGTATTGTTTGCAAGTATTTTCTCACTGAATCCCCATGAGGGAACCTATGAAGAAAAGAAGATGGACAAGGGAAACACTTCCCAGACAGGAAGTGACAGGGCCATGATCTGAACCAGGGTGGATTGATTCTCAAGCCTGTAGTCCTCACGTTTAGCCAATGCTGCCTAATGTAACTAAATGGAGGGCATTACTATTATCTTATAGTCTTGGAAAGATGGAAGTACCCACTCCATGAATAAATAAAAGGACTTAGCTACAGAAAAATGAGATTTGGTTTGGGATCTGAAGGAGGGGTTAGCTTCCAGCTTTATGCATTGATTGTCATTTGACATTTTTTTTTTTTTGGCTGCACTGTCAGGCCTGTGGGATCCTTAGTTCCTTGACCAGGGATTGGACCTGTGCCACAGCAGTGAGATTGCCATCCTAACCACTGTACTGTCAGAGAATTCCTCCATTTGACCTTTTTAAGAAAAAACGGTTTGGACAATACTGACAAATCTTGAAGTTATCACATTCAACCCAACAAAACCCAGACTCAGGTTCGCTCATGATCCATGCTAAGTTGTAAATAAACCTTTGTCAGCATAAACAGTATGAGAACCTAAATGCATGCTAACAGGGTGTTGTAGATCTGTGCTCCTCCTGATTAGCTACTTTCTGCATACTCTATGGACACTGTGTATTTTGTTGCTGATCATGTTTTCCACCTTCCTTTGGTCTCCTGGGAAGCTGTAGCTCATAGCAACATTCCCTTTATATTTAGAATAAAATCCAGAAAGGTCCTCTGTAACGCAGTCCCTGCCTTCTCTGTGACCTCAGAACTGACCATCCACACTGGCCTGCCAGCTCCCCTCATTCCTGACTGACAGCCCTCTTTCCCTCCCTCCCCATTTGCATGGGTCTTAGTTGTGGCACGCAGGATCTTTAGTTGTGGCATGTGAACTCTTAGTTGAAGCACACGGGATCTAGTTCCCTGAGCAGGGATCAAACTTGGCCTCCGTGCATTGGGAGTGCAGAGTCTTAGCCACTGGACCACTGGGAAGGCCCTTTGTCGTTGTTGTTCAGGGCCTTTTGAACACTTGCTGTTCCTTCTGCCTGGTAGTTTCTTCCCACTACCTCTCCTCCTTTCTCCAACGACTCACTCATTCCCTGTCTTCATAGCTTTGATCACTGCTCAGAAGGACATTACCTGTTTATTTGTTTACCTCTTTACTGCTAAGTTCCAAGAGGACAGGGACTTGGCTTTGTTCACTGGTATTTCTCCAGGAACACAGATGGTGCTCATATTTGTTAAATATTTGTTAAATGATCTGTTCAGGAATTTATGGCATGCATTCTGTGTACTAATCTCATTTGGGGCTTTAACTTATTTCTCCTTTAAACTGATTTCTCATCTACTTAAGTTTATCCTGCTATAAAAACTATATTTTTATAAGCTGCCTCACATCTTTTTTTTTTTTTTGGAATGAGGCTGAGTATACATACATACCCACACACATATGCACTTTAAAAATAAAAAAACAGATAACAAGCAGATGACTGTAGCCTAGTGTAATTCACTTAATAACTTCAATACCTACATGTTGTCAGCGAAAAAAAAGCTGGCTTGCTTTTGCATCTTTTCCATCTCAACTCTTCTCCACCGGGAATTTTGTGTTAACATATGCTTCCGGCCCAGGACCAGCACTTGAAGATTCTGCTTGGCGAGGTGAGAGACCACATTCAAGAGCTGAAAAACACAAAGCCAGTCCCCAAGAAAGTCAAGGGAAGAATCTCAAGTAAGGGGAGTGATTTTCCCAGACGGTAATCTCAATGGGTCAAACAGTCTTTTCTGGTAAGAGGTGAGAAAATATTCCTAAACAGTCTTTTCTGGTAAGACGTAACTGCCCGTCTTTGTAAACAAGCCTGAGGAAAATGCTCCCTTATTACAAATGATTATCTAACACCTGCCCACTGGCCAGGCTACATGGGATACCTGGGGAGGTTTCTAAGCATAGACAAGATGAGCTATTTTTAAACTGTGCTCCATAGGGCCCAGTGGGAAAGAGGTAGGGGGCTAAGAAGGACTGGGTTTAGTTCCTATACATTCCCAACCCTGTTTCAACCCAAACAGCTCAGTTTTTGTCTACTTATATATTGGTACTATGCATAGATTTTTATTTAAATAAAGGATGGCTCAGATGGTAAAGAACCTGCCTCCAATGCAGGAGCCCTGGGTTCAATCCCTGGGTCAGGAAGACCCCCTGGAGAAGGGAATGGCAACAGAGGAGCCTGGCAGGCTACAGTCCATGGGATTGCAAAGAGTCAGACAGGACTGAGAGACTAACCCTTCTTTTATTAAAAGTTTGTAAATGGCTGGAATAGATATTTCTTCTTTTTTACTTAAATTTTTTTAACTTTTAACTTTGTATTGGGATATAGCCAATTAACAATGCTGTGATAGTTTCAGGAGAACAATGAAGGGATTCAGCCATATGTAGCCATGAAGATACTGCATTTTCAGTCAACTTTTCCACATCATAATTCTGCTAAGAATGCTACTCTTCACTGAAATCCCTCTTTCCTCCAAAAGGCCTGTCAGTTTTCATCCTCCAGCTTATTTTCCATTCACTGAATTTACCCCCATTCTTTCCACTTCCCACATGTCTTGTGTGCACATGGATTCCTCTTAAAAGTTTGAAGTGGGATTTTTAGTAAATCCTGCACTTTGGTGAGCTTGCTTACATTCAATCTTTCGTAAGGAAAAGTCTATAGACTATTTTCATGTACAACCTATTAAACTGAGCTATAAATGAATATTACTAAGTATAATATATAAAAGCTAATAAAATATTTTAACTTAAGTTACACAACAGTGTACTGGAAATATAAATGTTCTATAATTTATAAAAACTCCAGGCCCTATGAAAATCACAAGCTGAAAGTCACTGAAGAAATCCTTAATTTTCTTGGGTCTTGTTTGGAAAGGCATTTATTTTAGCCTAGCTTTCCTTAACTCAAAAATTTCTTCCCATGTAGACTTTCAGGATATTAGTTAAAATTGTTTACTCAATAATTTTTCATTCATTTATTTCATCAGTTGTCAAATACTGCTTGATTACCTGTTAGTCTAACACACATGGATTCTCTCTGTTAGTCTAATAATTAATTAGTGAGAGCTGAACTTTTAAGTACTGTTTAATGCTTTGGATTTATATGTATTTTTGGCCCATTCTATCCATTCTACTCCATTACTACTCTTATTATTTTAGGAAACAGTAGTTAGTTACGTGATCTCTAATTCTTAGTTCTAGAATGAATGGACGGAATGGACACAAGTTGGCCACTGGATGTGAGCAGAGAAGTGTACCAATACCACTGTGATGACTCTGACCCAAAGCTTTACAACCAGAAAAAGTTATGAGTAATGGCTTCTCTGTTCATTCAACAGCTATTTCCCAGAACTCTCCATGTATAAGGCATATGGTAGGTATCATAGCTTACAAAGTTTTGAAAGATATGGCCCCTGACTTCAGTGAGGGAGTGCCTAATAATTTTCTTACCCAACTCTTAAGCCTGGAAAGATGTATATGCTGGTTCCACATATATTGGATGGTTAATAGACATTTTCTGATTAGCTAAAGAAAATGCCTACCTCTGTTTTGAAATAAAAAATGCTTACCTCTATTACTGAAAACTTGAAAAATATAGGCAAGAATAAAAGTGAAAGAGGAAATCAGTCATAACCTCACTACCCAAAATCTAACTCTATTTGCCAATCTATTTATCCTAAGCATTTTTATATAATCTCATAAGGTACTATTTTAAAAGCTGGATTGGTAATCAAACATCTTCACTATGGAAGTTTAGTTCAGGGATTCAAACAAATCAAAAAACATTGAGAGTGAATCTCTTTCAAAATGCACTTATAAATTTCCTTTCTTAAAAGCTATGCTGAGATTACAGATTATTTTCAATGAGCCCAGCTATAAAATGGCAACTGAATTCATTAAAAGGAATGACAACTGCTTTCTAAAAATTCCTGTATGAATTCCCACAAAGTTACTCTCGATACCAAAAAAAAATATATATATATATCAAACAAAACCAATTTTTGATATTGATTCCATATATATGAGAAGACATGGCTTAAAGAAAAACACAGTTGGGTCTTCACATCTCTGTGTGTGTGTGCTTAGTCACTCATATCTATACCTCGGTTTAAATAAATAGCCTTGAATTTACTAATATTAAGTTAAAGACGGGGGCCCAAAGAAGAGCAGAAAGGGCTTAGGTTAGCTTGAACAACTCTGGGGCACCATCATGTGGCCGAAAGGTCTCTGCTAGTAGCAGCTCTCTGGTAATGATGCAAACAAGGGAGAATAAAGACACAGGAAAGAGAGATGAGTGTACTGGATGGAATAGAGGTATTTGCCTGAAACTCTGTAACAATCTAGCTATGAGCCTACTTCCTGTGAGGTAAATTCCAGGACTGGATCCAATGGGCTGGCCCAGAGTCATAGATATACTTAGAATAGTAAAGAAAAAGAAAATTGACCTTAATTCTATGTTAGATCAAAAATAAAACTGGGAGAAATCTCCACTTCTGGGAAGATGGGAGTGGATGTACTTTTCCCTATTTCTTCCACTATGTACAACTAAAACCCTCAGATGTTTTATATATAAAACAAATGCAAGACTTTGTAGAGATAAAAAGGCAGACTGGCTAGGGAGCTTGGAATTTTCTTTTCGCCTCATATATCCTGTATTTGGAGATCAAGAAGCCAGCAACCTGGAAATGCCAATGGATGCAGACAAAAAAAGACCAACAAAGGCTGGTTCTCTCTAGCCAAAGGACTAGAAAAGATGCAGTCTAGCAAGACGGAAGACCTTTTAAAAGTGATAACACCAGCAGACTGTGATGTTACATGTGTGTGTACATATGTGATGCTTTCAGCAACCATTAAAAATGCTATACAAAGATATATATTCAAAAAGACTATGATTTTAAAAAAATGCCCACTATAGACACACAAAAATGGAATTCTAAGAAAAGTTCAAGCAACCCACAGGAAGGCAGGAAAAATAAAATAGAGAATAATGGTGATAGAAAACAAAAAATAAAATGGCAGACATAACGCCTAACATATTAATAACAACATAAAATATAAAGGATTTTAATACATCAGTGAAAAGACAGGGCACATATCAGAATTTTATTCCTTTTTAAGGCTGAATAATATTCCATTGTATCTATATACAACATTTTATCTATTCATGTCCATGGATATTTGGGTTGTTTCTAAAACTTTCCTTCCTGAACTTATCCTATAATGAGGAATATTGATCATAGCTATCTTGCTTGGGAAACTAGCATAGGACTTCTATAATGTCTGTAGATGTCGGATCCTAAAGGCTTTAGAGTTCTGAAGATCTACAGTCCATAAAACCCAGGAAGTGCCAGAACCTTCAGAGGGGGAGGTAAAAAGTTAAAAGACTAGGGAAAGGAAGTTACACTTGCTATTTAGGGTTACTTAGAATAGCTCTTGCTTTCATGACCCTCTCCCACCTCTCAGGCAGCTTTTCTACTTCCTGAGCATCCCTACCCACTTATTTCCAACCCATGTAGCTCAGCCAATTGTATTTTTACCCTAAGCTCAGGAACTACTTTCCAGGTTTACACCAAAAGTAAGTCATGCATGAGTAATGTTACTTATGAATTAAAAAAAAAAAAACACAAAAAAACCTTCTTATCTATTCCTACTGGAGACAAGCCAAATTAGAACAGAAGCCAAACCAGAAACTGTACCAAATATTAAGCTGCAATCTGTGTTTACTCCTCTGGTTTTTGGAGAATTATCCTTTAGACATCATAAAGAGCAATGTGGGAGGGAGCATGGTGAGAATGGATCTCAGCTTAACCCTGAGGTGCCAAGTACCCAGAGTTCTGAAAGCAATTTGGAATTTGAGATATTCTCCAGAATCAGCTGTATTATGTATTTTGCTCTGCTGTGTGGTTCAGACTTCAGACCCCTTGGGCAGGTCCAGAACTGTCCTCACCATCTCTGGATTCTCCAGGTTGAGAACATCCCACAGTGGATCTCAGCTTCTCTTGTCAGAACTGCTCTGAGCTCAAGGAAACTCTTCCACAGCTCTCTCATTTAAACCTAATCCCTGTTCAGAGTCTCAAGGGGAGAACTGCCTCATCTAAGATACTGACCACTCTGTACACATGGATATTTGTCACATACTTCTTGATCCTTCCTATGAAGGCCTAGTTTGGTCTTGGATGAACCTTGAAGATAAGTCAAACACAAAAGGACAAATATTATATGATTTCATTTATATGAGTCACCTAGAGGAGTCAAATTCAGAGACAGAAAACAGAAATGTATTTGCCAGGGGCCAAGGAGATACTGTTTAATGGTACAGAGTCTCAGTTCAGGTGATGTTCTGGTGATGGGGATGTTTGCCCAACAATGTAGTGCTTAATGCCACTGAATGGTACACTTGAAAATGGTTAAAATGATATATTGTATGTTATGTACATTTTACTATAATAAAAGTTTTATTATCAAAAATTTTAAATATAAACAAAAGTAAGCTGAATAGCATAATGTGCCCATCACCCAGCTTCAATAATTATCAGCTCATGGCCAATCCAATTTCATCTATATCCCTACCAACTTCTGCTTCAGATTATTCTGAAACAAATCCTAGACATCACATCATCCGTGAATATGTCAATGT